AGTAATCATATTTTGGTTAATAGCTCCACTCCACTCAACTTTGTTTGTTGATTGTTAATATTGCAGAAGACAACTCAAGCATACACATCCTTAGTCTCAGGTGGAAGAATAAAGTGTTTCATCCTTCTTTCACCAAGATCAATGTAACATCCGAAAAATACAACCAATTTAAATTTTTCAAAACAACCCGATTTTCATTAAAATGATTACAAAAAGGTTTTCAATACAAATTATTAGAGTATTCCCAGAATCACATTGCTACAAAATCATGAGGAGCGGTACGATCGCGCCTTCGCCTTGCCACGGTCTCCTGAAGAACCTGAAAAACATTAAACCACAACTGTAAGCCCGAAAGCTTAGTGAGATACCCCCAAAATACCAACCACGCATACGCCCTTCCAGGCTGCGACCTTCCGGTCCAAAACATATAAAACATACATAACATAACAGAACATAGAACAGCCATACATATCAGGTCAACTGTGTGACTGGTCCGCCGTATCGGGCCTTCAGTCCACCGGACCATCCTCCAGGTCTAGTCATGTCCTTCGAGTCTACAGTGGGGTTGGTCCGCCCGCATCGGGCCTTCAACCCACCTGGTCCACTCTCTGAGTCTACAGTGTGACTGGTCCGCCCGCATCGGGACTTCAGTCGGCCTGGTCCACTCTCCGAGCCTCGGCACGTCTGGTCCACCCTCGTGGGGCCTACAGCCTATCCGGACCGCTCGCTGGGCCTTCGGAACAACCGGTCCGCCCTGGGTATCTTGGCCTACAACACAAAGCAGGACCCGCCTCAACCCATCTCCAGTCCAAACAACCATGTGCACAAAACATACATTCATATAACAGTCATAATCAACAAACCGAGCAAGCAGATCACATAGCATATCATTACCCTAACCGGGTTACCGACCTAACCGGTCACTAGCATAGCATCACTTTGTATATCGGGAAACTGACCTTAATAAGGTCTCCGAGCATGTACCATCCTAGCTACCAGGATGCAGACACATCAAACAATAACATAATAACCATATCCGAATCTCAATCCAATAAAGGGTCGGCCTTGGTGCCTTAGACCCTGTTGATATAGTGAGGATAACTCACCTCGAAACTGTCGGCTGAAAGGATGAGATCCCGCTGCTCCAAACTCTGACACGAACTCCTCCACTGAACATCAAAACATACAACTCAATAAATACCCTTAATTACCAAAATACCCCTGGAAGACATCTGGTCAACCTTGGATAAGTCAAAGTCAACCCCTGACTGACCCTACTCGCCGAGTCAACCTGATGACTCGCCGAGTCCACATGCTCAGAACTTCCTTCACTCAGCGACCCAACTCGCCGAGTCACCCCAAGACTCGTCGAGTCTAACAACTCTGAGTTCACTCGCACCCAACTCACCGAGTCATCCCTTGACTCACCGATTCATCGACTCAACCAGAAATATTAGGACTTCCTCGACAAGACTCGCCGAGTCCAAGGCTATCTTCAACCTACTCGCCGAGTTGTTCTTCCAACTCGTCGAGTTCCAGGCCATCTTCAAGCAACTCGTCGAGTCGCCCCATGTGACTCGACGAGTACCACCGGTCTGAATCCAAACAGAAGCATCTCAGGCCATGCAATTGATCCAAAACATAGATCCAACCTCCTACAATCCATCCATCACGTAAAGTGGCAAACTTTACATGAATCTAAAGAGATCTAGGCCTTATTCACCTTAGAACCAAGGTTTGGGACATGGTGGCTTCACTAAGCACTCAAACACAGGAACTTTAATGCACTCTAGGCCTTCAATATTCCAGATCTGAGGTAGCAACCTCAGATCTAACCTCCAAACTCCAAAACATTCCAAGATATACTCCCCACAACCCCAATAATGAGAAACTAGGAACATACAGCCCAAGAACGAAGGTTTTACCTCCAAAAGATGCCTCAATAGAACCCAAACTCGAATCCACACAAAGCCCTTTGATCCAAGCCACTTCTCCTTCAAGATCTCTTCAAACAACACCTCTCCAAGCTCTAATTTACTCAATAATGGGACTCTCCACGAATTTAGGGTTTCTGGAACTCAAGGGGGGAATACGGGAGGCTGTGGAGGGGTATAATGCTCTTTATATAGGGCTCAACCCCGAAAATCAGGGTTTTCTCCATACAGCACCTACTCGCCGAGTCCATCTTTGGACTCGCCGAGTAGGCCACTTGACACGCGACCATAGCCGCGACCTGACTCGCCGAGTCTATCCATGGACTCGCCGAGTCACCCTTAGAAACTTACACTTTTAGCCCTTTAACTCAACTCTTGCGATTCCGGGATGTTACAATCAATAGTAGCCAACACGGATAAAGGCTTCATTAGGGACCAAAATTCTAGGTCTCTACAAGTTGGGCCTACCAAGGAAGGCCCCTGGACCACAGTGAGACTAAACTATGTTGCACACGTTGCCTGCTGGCCATTAGGAAATGTTGTAGTTGCAAGTGAAGTCCTTGTAGAGGATGGAAATAGATATGTGAATATCATATCTTTGGTTTCAGTTACCAACAACACAGATTTAGTACTCGAATTGTGCCTCCAGCTTGATGCTTCTAAAGAGAATTTGGATACCTTAGAAGAATTCCAGAACGGATTCCCCAAAAGATGCTATAGAGACAGATGTACAAAAATAGATTGTCATTGGAGAACTAAAACTTAGAGAAAGTCATCCACTTCCACTTTTTGGACTTGTCCATTCTGGATTCTATGTTCTCCAATTAAGACCTACTCTAGATGATGATCACAAGGAATATTCATGGAGCTCTGTAATGGATAAGCATGCAGTGTCAGAAGATGATAGTAGGCCCAAATATAAATGAGTCTGAGGAACTTCTATACTACTCTGAGATAAGTGGAACATCATCAAATTTGTCACATGGATTGTGGCTTTTTTTGGCCATTCAAACATCCGAGATCTATAAGGACATCTGTTCTGATCCAATTCAGGATTGGAATATTGTGGTGAAGTCCCCTCTATCTATCACCAATAATCTTCCTCTAACAGCTGAATTTTCTGTTCTTGAAACGCAAAGAAGTGGCCATTTTAAAGCATGCTCAAGAGGTGTATTTACTCCAGGTGAAACAGTGAAAGTCCTAAATCCCGATATTAGAAACCCCTTGTACTTTTCTCTGTTTCCAAAACGGGGGTGGCTCCGAATACACGTGAGATATTGCATTCACATTTCCTTTTTCCCATTCAACCCAACATTTTTTTCTCCAGTTGACATGATTTTGTCCTTTGTAGGAGGCTGTGCTCATATCTCATCATTTTCTTGATCCATCAAAAATATTAGGTTGAAGAAGTTCAGTTTCTGGGAGGTTCGTGCATATATTTTTTTGTGTATCTCACTTGTTTTGCTTTTTTGCTTATTTTTATATGCATTTGTTTTTGGTATATGTAGGGTTGTTCATATAGTTCTTGAACAGAACTATGAAATGGAAAGGCCTTTGGCACCCAGGGCTCTAAGAGTATATTCTCCATATTGGTTGACGATTGCTAGATGTCTGCCAGTTACATTTAGGCTTGTAGATATGTCTGCAAAAAAAGCAAAACGAAACCCTTTCAAGTCAAAAAAGACGAATGAAGTAATCTTAGAGGAGATCACTGAGGAGGAATTTCACGAAGGCTATACCATTGCTTCAGCTCTCAACTTCAAACTGTTGGGCCTGTCTGCTTCCATTAGCGACAATGGGAATGATCATTTTTGGGATGTTACAGATCTCTCTCCACTTGCTGACATGGTAATAATTTTTTATCTACTTACCAATGATTTTGCCTTTATTTTTTCTCTGTGAACTCTATGAATTCATTTTTCTCCTATGTGTTTCTTAGGATGGTTCGTTGGGTGTCTCTTCTTATGATGCTGACAAGAACTGCATGCGCCTCTTCGTATCATCAAAAGCAACCCCTAATCAAACTGTTCCAACAAAGGTTGGTTACCAGTTGCTTTTTTGAAAGTTTAGTTGGTTTGTATTTTTGTCCACAACTTAAATTTTTCCATTATCAACTTTAGGTTATGGAGTGGATTGCTGAGTTATTTGAAGGTGTTGGGCTTCCATATTGTTGGTTATGGATGCACCACTTGTATCGACAATTCTAGTGACCTGGAAGAATCGGTGGCATCTGCTATTTTTGAAAATGGTAACGTACTTAATTAATAAGTTCTTCATTATTTCTCTTTAAAAAAAGTTTCACTTTCACCCCCAACCCACCCTTTGACTACAGAAAGTCAAACTTTGAGTTTTTCCTCAGGTTGACATTGACTTTGAAACAGAACCAATTGTTGTTGTTGTTGCTGTTCTTATTCTTCTTCAACTACAATTATAAACATCTAGAAGGCAAGTACCCTTTGCTCCTTTTTCAATATTTCTTATAAAAATAGCATCTATTAATACATTTACATGGTCTTTTCAAAATCTTTCTATATTGTTTGGATTAACAGCAAAGGAGTTAAATTGGCTTGGAGCTATCACATCAGCTGCTGCATTGGCTGTTGCTCAGAAGGTATTTTAATATTCTATTGGTATTTTATTTTTTGATGTTCATCTTTCTTAACAAACAGCTCATGTCGGAGCTATCACTTTCACCCCTAATTTCTGGAAGATTGTTTGTGTTAACATTTGATGATAAGGATTAGGAGGGCAGTTATGTCTTTTTTTATAACTCTTTTTATAAAAAAAATATTTATAAATCTTTTTTTATAAATCTTGTTTCTTGCCGTTTGCTGCCAAGGTATAAATTATTCTTATATAAAATGAAATTGTAAATTTTTATATTCTTTTTTATAAATATTTTTATATTTTATAAAAAAAAATTAGGCTGTGGGAAAGGTGTTGCCAGAGCTAAATGGAAAGCTTACTGGAATGGATTTTAGGGTTCATGGTTTAATGGGTTTAACCAACCAAATAGTCTTACGTTATGTTCCACAATTGCCCCTGATACAAACACGATGCTCTCAACTAGTCGGCCATCAAATCTTCTGAATACCTCAACTGGTAAAAGACACAACTGTGATGAAATTTAGGCACACAATGCACTCAGAATGCTGTCACGAGATGATTAAGCGTAACAAGTAAGTATCTCTAAACTTGTCTTGGATTAGCTCATTTCCAAATCTTGTGAAATTTTAGCTAAATTTCAATGGATTTTATTACAGATACTCTTGTCCCATATGCTCAAAATCAGTAATGGATATGTCTATGATGTGGAGAGACTAGATGAAGAGGTGCAACTATTGAATCTGTGACTGTGAAAATTTAATTTTAAACAACAAATTCTTGATCATCTTTCGTTTCTATAAGTTGGTTTGTTTTGTAATTCTCAGATTGAAGCTACTGTGATGCATGAAGATTACAAACAAAAGAAGGTATTATATTACGAGTTTCTTGAATTTTGAATCCTGAAGAGATTGAAACAGTAGAAGTGAATGGATAAATGTGAAAATTGCAGGTTTAGATCTTATGTATTGAGTGCAATGACACTTTAGAGTTTCTTGAATTTTGAATCTTGAAGAGATTGAAACTGTTATGTTTTAATGTAATTCTTTCTCCACTTCACTTGTGTTGTGTGTGGATTGATTGATTTGGGGAACAGAGAGGCTTCTAAATATGAAGAAAGCTCCTACTTGAGGATACTTTTGGACAGCAGAGATGCGTCAAGGTAACATAACATATCTATTTGTTGTTGGAGTCTTTATATATTAAGTAGACAAATTGCTATAAAATGACAGAAAGTCAACGCCTCCAACGTGAAGTATACATATACTTGAAATAATTCTGATTGTTTGCAATGCCAAATATTTATGTTTCTGATTATCATCTTCTCTTTCTATTGCCATATGCTCACACCAATTTTTGTAGCTGATTACACATTAATTTAATTATGCAGGTTTTGAAGTTTTTGATGGAAAAGAATAGTGTTAATGCTCTTCATAGAAAAGTATGTTGGTATTTTAGGAAATTTGGCTAGTAATTTAGTTAATTATATAAAAAATGTTGAAATGTTACATTTGTCTACAATTGGAATGAATATTTGTATGACATTAAATTTTGTGCAATGTATTGTATTTTTTGTATATGGTATTTTATTTTTTATTATGAGACATGAAATGCAAATTTAATTTGAAAATCAGTAAATCTATAAATAATTTTTAAAAAAAAATAAATTAAAATTACGATACGCAAAAATGTGTGTCGTCTTTATTTATGACATGGCCTTTCTTGACAGGGGCTTCCTTGATATGCATTGCGTGTCATAAACATACGCGTCGTAAGGATATGACACGCAAATGCATGTCGTCTTCCTTTATGACAGGGTCTTCCTTGATACGCATTGCGTGTCATAACCGCGCGTCATAAATGTGCGTCGTCTCTCTTTATGACAGGGCCTTCCTTGACGCGCATTTACGCGTCGTCTAAGCGTTTTACGACGCGCAATGAGCGTCCTAAAAGGTTGTTTTTCTAGTAGTGGATTCACCCGTCACATTTTCAGGTTTCAAAGCTTCGAGCTGAGCTTCCTTAATTTGTGTGGACAAGTATGAATGGATAGTCATAGTCAATGATTTAAATCTACGACCAGAATATTCTTTCTGACTTAAGGCGTCAGCTACTACGTTGGCCTTGCCAGGATGATAATGAATTTCGAATTCGTAATCGCTGAGTAGCTCGACCTATCGTCGTTGTCTCATGTTGAGCTCCTTCTTGTCGAATATATGTTGTAGGATTTTGTGGTCTGTAAAGATTGTGTTTTTTGTACCCTACAGGTAGTGTCTCCAGATGTTCAGAGCAAACACTACTGCTCCCAACTCAAGATCATGAGTGGTGTAGTTGACCTCGTGTGTCTTTAGATGTCTTTAGGCATAGGCGATGACCTTACCTCGTTGCATCAGAACACAACCGAGCCCTTGATTGGACGCATCGCAATAGACCACGAAGTCTTCTATCCCTTCGGGGAGGGATAGTATCGGCGCGGTGCATAATGCTCACTTTAGCGTTTGGAACGCTTTCCCTTGCTTCTCTTCCTATTCAAAGGCCACGCCCTTCTAGGTCATTGTTGTAAGAGGTTTCGCAATCCGCGAGAATTCTGAATGAACCTGCGATAGTAGCCAGCGAGGCCTAGAAATTGACGAATTTATGTAGGCGTCTTCGGTGCTGACCAGTTCTCAATGGCTTTAATTTTGGAAGGGTCCACATGTATTCCCTCTTCACTAACCACGTGCCCTAAGAATTCGACTATTCGGATCCAAAATTCGCACTTCGAGAACTTCACATAAAGCTTCTCTGATCGCAGTGTTTCTAAGACTTGTCGCAGATGTTGACTATGCTCCTCCTTACTACAAGAGTAGATAAGTATCTCATCGATGAAGACGATGACAAACTGATCCAAGTAAGGACGACAAACCCGATTCATTAAATCCATGAATATTGCGGGCGCATTGGTCAATCCGAACGGCATCACTACAACTTGTAGTGTCCATAACGAGTTCAGAAGGCTGTCTTTAGAACATCCTCCCCAAGCACTTGTAACTGGTGATACCCGGATCTCATGTCAATCTTTGAGAAGAAATTCGCCCATTGAAGTTGGTCAAACAAATCGTCAATACGAGGTAGAGGGTAACGATTTTTGATGGTTAGTTTGTTAAGTTCTCTACATTCGATGCAGATACGGAACGATCAGTCCTTCTTCTTGAGGAACAAGACCAGTGCTCCCTAGGGTGAGATGCTTGGTCTAATAAAGCCCTTACTGAGCAGTTCGTTAAGTTGACTGGATAGCTCCTGCATCGCAACTGGTGCTAGATGATAGGGTGATTTGGCTACTGGGGTAGCCCCTGGAACTAAGTCGATTCTGAACTTGACTTGACGTTGCGGAGGTAATCCTGGGAGTTCTTCTGGGAAGATGTCGGGAAAACCGCATACTATTGGAATGTTCTTAATGTCTTTAGTTCCTTGGCTCACATCGACAACATGAGCAAGGAATGCATGACATTCCTTTCGCAAGAATTTCTGGGCTTGAATGCTCGATATAAGGCGAAGGTTGGTTCCGGGTTTGTTGTCGTAAATAACTAAGGTTTCGCTAGACGGTAGATTAAGGCGAACAGCCTTTTCATAACACATAATGTCGGCATGATGGGAACTCAACCAATCCATGCCGATAATGACGTCAAAACTTTTGATTGAGACCGGCATGAGGTCAATGGGAAATGAATGGTTATCTAGTGTTAGTGAACAACCTATGTACATGCAGCTAGTACTCTCTGTCTTTCCGTTAGCCATTTCTACTGTAAACGGTTCTTTAAGTGCATGCGATTTATTCTTAAGTAAGTGAGCAAATTTCTGGTTCCCGAAACTCCTCTCTACTCCACTATCAAACAGTGTGCATGCATATGAGTTATCGAGGAGAAACGTCCCAGTGACCACTGTAGGGTCGGCAACCGCTTCCTCGTGGCCTATGGCCAAAACTCTTGCTACTCCACCGGCATTCCATGCCTTCGGGCAGTTCCTTTTGTAGTGGCCCACCTCGACACATCCGTAGCAAGAATGGCCCACACCAACGTCGGGGACTTGGTTGATTGGCCTTGCCGGAGATTTGCATAAACGGGCAGTGTGCCCCCTTCCTATTGCAGATAGAGCACTGCATTTCCCGGCAGGGTCCGATGTGATGGAAGTTGCATTTGGATAATAATTTCCATGAGATTAGATATCTGCTAATAATACTGGTATTACAGATGTAACAAGTTTGGGAAAAATTACCTAGAAGTAGGTCTTACATCACACCAAGATTAAGAAAATTTGATAGAAATAAGACCTAAACGACCGAAAGTTCAAGGTCTTACTATTTACAGGAATTTACAGGGAAAGTGCTGCTTAGAGCATAGATAGGAAGGTTATTCCTTGAATCAAAAGAAAAGGGGTGAGCAGAGCATCCCCTACTGTCGTTGGGAACCCCTTGGGTGAACCCTTATATCATCCATCAGACGCTCCATTTCGAGAAGGCGTCGCTCGTACACTCGCTGGCGCACGCGATGCTCTATGACTTCAGCCCTAGTCTCAGGTAGCGCTTGAAGTATAGACTCACGGTCTCTTTCAGCTCTCTCACGCGCATCTTCCAGCCGACGAATGTGCACAGTGTTGATCCCTGTATTGGTATCAAGTTCTGCAATGCGTTGGAGGGTTGTCCTTCCCTGGATTTTGTTATGAGCAACCCTGCGGACCAGGATAAGCAGGGCCCTGTCCGCTGAGCCTCCTTCGCTCACATTGTAGAAACTTCGGTCTCCATTGTACGGGATCGGTTGGCCCTGTTCCTGACTCCAGGTCTCGAGACTTTCTACCCACAGATGTGTCGGGCCTTGAAAAGTTGGTCGCGGGTTTGGATTCGGGTTTGGGGCTACCAGGGGTTGATCGTTAACTTCTGGCTCGAAGTCAGAATCCTCCATGAAGTTCTCAGCAAGGTCATCATCCAGTGGAATTGCAGGTTCCTCTTCAGGCTCAACATCAATCCATCCTCCGTTGCCTTGGTTGGGAAAGTACGGGTCTCCAGGGATATGGAATCCAGCCATGGTATCTACTCGAGAATAGGGATAAAGAACTAATTAATAGACGAACTATTTAAGATAATTATAAGATGATCCTTATAAGTTACTCCAAATTTTGCATAGTGCATACCATTCATATGTAACCAATACAGGATAGACCTTCGAAAAAGTGATCCTAACTCTAAGTCACAACCAAACAAGGAACATGAAGTGAAGAAAAGATCACATATTCTAAGTCTATGACACCCTAGTCACATATAACCGTAGCGTATCCACTCCGCAACTATTGGCATACTAATAAAGACCTGTTTAGTTTGCACATAAGTAATTATATTAACACAAAATACTCCCATAGTATTTTAAGTTTATGTTCTGTTCTAATGTTCTCATTGTGGGAGTGTTGGTAAGTTTTTAGACTTGCTGCAACATCACAAACAAATCCTGGACACATCCTAATCATTTATCGGAAAGATATAGTTGATCAGGTTATATCACTCCCAGATCTGATTATGTGTCCCCAAGACTACTCGTGATGTCCAACAATCGTAATACTTTTGTTCTATCCTTGTGACACTGATTTTTAGTATGAATGCAAGTATGTATACTTAGGTTAAATATTTTATTATTTAAAAGCATAAACTCTTGGTCAGAGTAATTTAATCCCGTTGTGTTTATAGTTGTATATCTTTTATGGGTTGATATACTCAATTCACTATAAACAATGCTCTGATACCAATCTGTCACACCCTAAAACCGGAACGGCGGAAACATTCGGGGGCGAAGGACGTCAAGTACAGTATCACAACAATGCATAAAAGTAAAAAAGCAACAACATCATCCATTGCATTAATAGTATTAATTTTAATACAAGTGTGTTATTAAGTTTATAAGACACCAAAATGTATGATCAAAATAAAAGATGAGT